CTTTCCCTATTTGGCTGTTGCTGACTACTGGGCTGTTCTCTAGAATAATTCTTTTTCTAAAGTGAGTTAATTATGGGAAGCAGGCAAACAGGGCTTGGTTAATGTTCAGCTGGAGACAACAGGCACATCTCTAGCTCAGCAGAAGTGTTCGTGTGGGGATAAACCAAATAGGCTGAAGTGAATATGCAGAAGTGGCTGATGGAGGAAGTCTGAGCACAGCATCATATGACTGAGGTTTGTTCTAACTAAAATGTGAGCTTCAGCAATGTGATCCTACAGGAAATGCTCTGTGCTCTGAGGTGAACTCCAGCTGATACCACAGCTGGGGAGTTCACCCTATTTTTTGGTTGCCCGTGCGGTGGGATCGAAGGCCCTGGGCAGTTCTCTGCTGTGCTACAGAAACATCTAACAAAAATGTGGGGTTGGTGCCAAAAGAGGTGCTACCACTATTTCCTCTTTAAAGCTTTATTTTTTTATTACAGTCAATAATTGTAGTTTTAATGGAGTTCTTGCTAATTGGTAACTCATCTCTGAGAACTGCCTTTTTAATGAACAATCACTCTTCCCTGTCTTACAGGATTGAGTTCCAGAACAAGTTCTACACTGGCACTGGATTCAAGTTTCTCCCTTTCTCCTTTGATACCATCCGTGAAGGGAGGTTTGAAGACTAAGAGCCTCTCAAGCAGTGTTACCTGCTGTGTGTTTAGCCCTGTCCCCTGTGTGTGAGTTGCATGTCACCCCCCATAGTGAAAGTAACTTATTGCAGCCCCCTTGAGTGTTCCCATGGTGTTTGAGAGCCAAGAGCTTTAACAGTCTTGGGTAACAAGTGACACTTTTTGTTCCTTAGGTTTCCCCTGAAGATAGTAAGTGCATGGAGTGCCTGAGTGTGGTGTGTGGTAGTGTCCTTGTGTTGTGGATCCCCTGGCAAGCTCATCAGGGCAGTAGGAGAGAAATGCAGCTGTGGGTGAGCGAGCATCCGAGCACGTGGAGGAATGGGCTGACAACAGCAGCTTGCACAGAGCTGTCTGCTTGGACAGAGAGGGGTTTTAGGAAAGTTTTCCACGTGGATTCCATGTGTCTCTGCCTCTGAATAAACAAACAGTGAGCAGTGGGCAGTCAACAACCCAGGGCATTGATTTTCCTGCCTCCAGAGCTTCCACACATGCCATGTTCTAATCTGACCAGAACGGTGTCTCATCCCATGCAGAGATTCACCTCTCTGAACTGTGGCTGGGGCTTGAGGAGCCAGTGTGAAGGGGTAGGAAGTGTGTGGTAGCTGATTGTTCCAGTGATGGGGAAACACCTTGTTCTTGCAAGAAAGGCTGTTCTGTTCTCCATGGAGAAGAGATGCTCTTTTAACTGTGCACCCACACTTGTATCCCAGGCAAGGCCCCAAGTCCAGCAGCAAAGGCCCCTTCCAGCTCTTGTTTTTTAGAGGCAGTGGTGAAAAGGGGGAGCTCAGGCCTGGGGGTTTGGCAGCCTGGAACAAGCCAGGGTGCAGACTCATCTCAGGTATTGACCACTGGCAGTGGAACTTCTTGGGTTTCTTGTTTAAATCCAAAGCCATGAGGCTGCAGAATCCTGGATGCACATCCAGGTAATGCCCCTGTGGACTTGTTCCAGTGATGTGTTGCCACGTGTGCTCAGGGTGGAAGGAGCCTGTGGGGGGGAACAGAGGCCGAGTCTTGCCAACATAGTCCCACGGCAGTGGGGTCTCAGTGTGTCCCCACAGTAGCTGTTCCTTTTTCTCCTGTGCAAGATGTGAATAATTTGTTGCCTTCCTCAACTAGATGTGGCTGTAGGAGCAGTGCTGTGTGTGTGTTAGTGCTGTGTGTAGCTGTTGTGTTCAATTGTCACAGTGGACATTTGTATATTATCAGATAAGAACTATAATGAGATACCGTTGTTCCCCGGAACTCCACGCAGTGCGGGGCTGCCTGGAAGTACCTGAGAGATGTGTGAGCACTGCAGGGAGCAGGGGGTCCTTGTGCTCTGCTGGGGGTCTTGCTGTGTTTACAGGCAGACGTGGTGTGTGTTTACAACCGTCTTGGCAGAGCAAAAGGCAGAATCAAACCTTGTCTGCAGTGGAGCAGTGACACCCATCCTGCTGCCCGGGTGAAAGGCACTGCTGACAGTCACCGTATAAATTAAACTAACTGCAAAATAAATGCTGTGGCCTCTGTCTCCCTGCATGCTCTGGGGGTGCTCCCAACAGAGCCCCAAATGCTGCCTGGGGGGAGCTGGGACCTTCAGCATTCC